GAATGCACTGTTGGGACACATTATGCCACCGATGGGGGAAACCGAACGAATTCTGTCTCTGCAACTGCACTCCCAAACAGGACCAGTCAATGTAATTAGTACATATGCACAAACCCTGACTTCTCCAGCAGAGGCAAAGGAAAAATTCTACGATGACCTCAACAGAGTCATAGCGAGAATCCCTGTAAAGGAGCTACTGTACATCCTCGGCGACTTCAACGCCAGAGTGGGTGCCGAGCACAACATTTGGCCCACTTGTCTGGGTCAATTCGGCATAGGGAGGATGAATGAGAACGGGCAACGTCTGCTTGAACTCTGCTGCCTTCATGGTCTTTGTGTCACCAACACGTTCTTCGGCACAAAGCCTCAACACCGAGTATCTTGGAGACACCCCAGATCCAAGCACTGGCACCAGCTTGACCTGATTCTAACCAGGCGTGCAAGTCTACCCAGTGTCAAGATTACGCGTAGCTACCAGAGTGCTGTCTGTGACAACAACCACTCCCTGGTATGTAGCAGGATCAAGAGGCAACCAAAGATGATTCATCACTCGAAAAAGGCGGGCAGACCTCGCATCGACACCACCAAGACCCGCAACCAGGACAAGGTGGAAGATTTTGCACACGTGCTCGAGGAAGCTCTCCCTGGCCCAGCTGGGGTCACTGCCTGTAAAAGATGGGAGCACTTCAGAGACGCTGTGTTCAACGCTGCCATTTCCACCTTTGGCAAGAAGACCAGCAGGTCGGCAGACTGGTTCGAGGCTCACTCGGAAGAGATGACACCTGTCATCAAAGAGAAGAGAAACGCCTTGGCAGCCTACAAAGCCTGCCCAAGTCAGCGCAACTTACAGATCCTTCGGGCCGTCTGCTGCAAAGTGCAGCAGAGCGCCAGGCGATGTGCCAACAACTATTGGCTCCAACTCTGCTCCCAGATACAAACTGCAGCGGATACAGGCAATGTAAGGGGGAATGTATGACGGCATCAAGCAGGCCCTCGGCCCAATCCAAAGGAAGACAGCTCCTCTGAAATCTGCCACTGGCGAGGTGATTCAGGACCAGACACAGCAGCTGAAGCGCTGGGTCGAGCACTACTCTGAGCTATACGCCAGGGACAATGTGGTCACCGAAGACGCCCTGAGCGCCATTAAGTGCCTGCCTGTGTTAACGGAGCTCGACAGCGAACCGACCCTGGAAGAACTCAGCGATGCCCTAGACTCCCTTGCTTCTGGTAAAGCTCCTGGCAATGATGGCATTCCTGCTGAGACCTTGAAGTGCTGCAGAGGTAGCCTGCTCATGGAGCTACATGAAATTCTCTGCCTCTGCTGGGAAGAAGGAGAGGTGCCACAGGACATGAGGGATGCCAACATCGTCACACTGAATAAGAATAAAGGTGACAGGGGCGACTGCAACAACTACCGTGGAATCTCCCTCCTCAGTATTGTCGGAAAGCTGTTTGCTCGAGTCACATTGAAGAGGCTCCAAGTACTTGCAGAGAGAGTCTATCCAGAATCACAATGCGGATTCAGAGCTGACAGGTTCACCATCGACATGGTCTTTTCCCTCAGACAACTGCAGGAGAAATGCAGGGAACAGAAGCAGCCACTCTTCGTAGCCTTCATAGATCTGACGAAGGCCTTCGACCTCGTCAGCAGGGATGGCCTGTTCAAGATCCTCCCCAAGATCGGACGCCCACCCAGGCTCCTCAGCATCATCAGATCTTTCCATGAGAACATGAGGGGCACCGTGGTCTTTGATGGCCTAACATCAGACGCCTTTGACATCCGAAGTGGAATAAAGCAGGGCTGCATACTGGCTCCAACCCTATTCGGGATTTTCTTCGCAGTTATGCTGCAGCACGCCTTCGGATCTGTCACGGAAAGCATTTACCTTCGGACCAGGTCGGATGGAAAGCTCTTTAACCTCGTCAGGCTGAGAGCCAAGACGAAGGTTCGGCTGAGGTGTCTGAGCGACTTCCTTTTTTGCCGACGACGCAGCAGTCACTGCCCACTCAGCCGAAGACCTCCAACGGCTCATGGCCCGCTTTAGCGAGGCCTGTCAGGCTTTCGGACTCACCATCACCCTGAAGAAAACACAAGTCATGGGACTAGGAGTGGACTCCCCACCTGACATCGACATCTCCGATTCCAAACTGGAAGTCGTTCACGACTTCGTGTACCTGGGCTCCACAATCTCTGACTCCCTTTCTCTTGATACGGAGCTAAACAAACATATCGGTAAGGCATCTACTACCATGTCCAGACTGACAAAGAGAGCGTGGGCCAACAATAGGCTAACTGAGCATACAAAGATTCAGGTTTACAGAGCCTGTGTCTTGAGCACTCTCTTTTATGGCAGTGAGTCTTGGACACTCCGCACCCGTCAGGAAAGATAGCTGAATGCCTACCACATGCACTGCCTTCGACACATCTTGGACATCACCTGGCAGGACAAGGTGACAAACAACAATGTCCTAAGGAGAGCACGAATCACCAGCATGTACACAATGCTGAAACAGAGACGAATGCGCTGGCTCGGGCACGTTGTGCGAATGGGCGACGGCAGGATCCCCAAGGATCTCCTGTATGGAGAGCTGATGCAGGGAAAGCGTCCAACAGGCAAGTCCCAGCTACGGTACAAAGACGTATGCAAGAGGGACCTGAAAGCCATGGACGTCGATCTTGCTATGTGGGAAACACAGGCTGCAGACCGTTCAGCCTAGGGGCAGTCTTTTCAAAGAGGTCTTTCTCCAAGTTCAAGAAGTCACTTGAAAAGAAATCGGAGGCAAAGAGATAGAGAAGGAAAGCCGGTAGCCAGGAAGACAGACCAGAATCGGACTTCGTTTGTGCTCGGTGTGGGATGGCCGCCACTCTCGGATTGGCCTCATCAGTCACACCAGACGCTGCACCAGGATTGACAACCAGGACGCAATTCCACAGTCTCCCGAGACTGAAGGATGCCTACTACTATATATATATATACATGTTTCATTGAATATGACTGCATAGACTGCATTGCTTATTTTTTTGTTTAAGGTTTCTATCCCTCTGACTAGTGCTCTTGCATCTTGGTTTAATTGGAAGAGGAGTTTTCCAAAAGTCATCTTCGTTCGAGGTAAAGAAAAAGAAATAAATAACTGTAGAATGTATTACCCTTATTATAAAATTACACAACGTTTCGAACCTACATGTGTCATGTTCATAGAAAACGGCACCATCCGTTTGTATGTGCTGTGGTTCAGACGCTAGCAGAAGAGAGGTAAACAAGAAAGCATACAGGACGCCCACCAGCTTGGAAGCTGCTAGTCATGTATCAGTTTAAGTATTAAAGTCAGTGATGATTGATTGATAAAATTAAGCCACCCAAAAGGTGGCACGGGCATGAATAGCCCGTAAGTGGTGGCCCTTTTAAGCCATTACCAGTATCAAGAGCTGATACTGGAGATCTGTGGAGGTGCGACTGCACCCTGCGTGACGGGAGATGTCTCCCGTTAATTAAAGTCGGTAACCAAGCAATGGCTTTATATCAACCCTACAACCAAGACTTCCTCAGCAACACACAACATGGTTCATTCTCAAGTGATAGGAAATTACAAAGCATGTTGGATTTATACTATTATGAGGTCAGGTGAAAACAAGTAGACCAGTACAAATGGGTCAAGAATAAGGCATAAAGGGGAGAAAAATAAGGCATTAAAGTTGAGAAAAAAGGGCGTAAATGGGGTCCGATTCACATACAAAGATTAATCAGGTGTAGTGGGCGTAACATGTTGACCAGTGTCTTCTATGTTGGCATCCTCGTGTTCTTACTCTCATGGTGGGTAGAGTGAATAGTTCCGTAATTTGGGTATTTATGGTGGGTTGTACTATTTTTATGTTGATTGCTTCAAGAATTTGTAATCTTCTTACATCTTGGGTTTTGTCTATTATACAAGTGTTTTTATTCAGCATTTCTCTTGTTAGGGTGATGTCATGGGGCTTGTCATGTGATTTCTGGGGGCACCGGATTGAAGATTGCAGGTCAAACGCCTCGTCAGCTTGATCGACGTCATACCTATGTACTTAGATCGAAGGCTACATCCTTCATGGGGGCAAGTGTACATATCTACCACGTCTAACTGCTGTAAAGGGTTCTACGTCGGTTTCAGACTGTTTTTAATAAGGAGTCGGTAGTCTTCTTTGTTTTATAATATATGAATAAGTCTATGTTTTGGTTAGGAATTGTACTTTTTACTCCTTTACGGATTATTTCTTACATTATTCTTTCTTCTTTTTTATGTTCACTGTGAACGGTTGATTTGTAATATAATTTTATTGCAGGCGTTGTGGTTTCTGTTCTTGGTTCAGGATTGTACCATCGGTCCAGGTGTCGTCTTATAATAGTGTTTATTTCTGTGTTGCTATATCCATTGTTCACCAACACCTGAGTTATTCTTTCAAATTCCCTACTCACGTTGCTCCTTTCAGAGCAGTGGGTAAGGGCTCAACGAATATAAGCGTTGAGAACACTGGCTTTGTATCTTCTTGGGGGGGGGGAGGCACTCACTCCTACCGTTTAGGCAACCCTTTGGAAGACTCGCAAACTAGTGATTCCCAGATGTTTGTCTTAACCGCTTGGCCAGGGTGGTACAAACGTTAACCAACCCAGAACTCTATTGAGTCCTCCTGGAAGTTCTGGAAGCCCAAAACCGCTGGCCCAATCAAGGGTTTGATTGGGCCAGCCTCTACGTGAGGCTAGAGTGTGTTGTGGTGGTGGAGTGCTACAAGGAGTTAGTGTACGTGGGGCTAGAGTGTGTTGTGGTGGTGGAGTGCTACAATGAGTCAGTGCAGCCAACCCGACAAAACCGCGGCCGAGCGGTTGAGGAACCAGTTTGGTACGTTTACGTCCGGTACTTGGAAATCAGCAGTTAGCGAGTCATTGAGCGAGAACTCAATGTTAGTGCGCCATAGAGTGGCCCAGCCGGAGATAGACGCCGCCGGGGGTTGTGTGGGTGTATATATATACCGTGCAAGATACAGCAGCTGATATACCTGCCAGAGACACCCGTCCACTTGGTCACACGGCCGCCACCTGCCGGAGGAGCCAGGCATTACCCTCCCGACGCTGTCATGGCCGCCTCCACCTCCCTCAGGGTCCTCACACTGCCCGTGGTCCTGGTTCTCTGCCTGGTGAGTCCCAGCACATTTACTCAACCATGGCCCGGTTTCTCTTTATTTAACCTATATAATTATAACAATTAGTCAAGGGGTAAATTATATGGAAACGAATAGAATAAAACAAGTGACAACGAGGAGGTACGTTATCTTTTGCAGCAGATGTGTGAGACGGTGGCAGGGAGCCAGGTGTGTGAGAGGATGGCAGGGAGCCAGGTGTGTGAGAGGGTGGTAGGGAGCCAGGTGTGTGAGGGTGGCAGGGAGCCAGGTGTGTGAGAGGGTGGTAGGGAGCCAGGTGTGTGAGAGGGTGGTAGGGAGCCAGGTGTGTGAGAGGGTGGTAGGGAGCCAGGTGTGTGAGAGGGTGGCAGGGAGCCAGGTGTGTGAGAGGGTGGCAGGGAGCCAGGTGTGTGAGAGGGTGGCAGGGAGCCAGGTGTGTGAGAGGGTGGTAGGGAGCCAGGACAATGGGTGAAGATCACTGATAATTATATAAACTATATATAAATGTAGTATTTTCCCCTGTAAATTGATGTTATTATGATCTTTATATTGTTTATTATTTAATAAAGTAAAACAAGAAAAAGTTATCATGACATTAACATGAAAGAGGTAAGAAAATTCTATAGAAAACAGTGAGGTTGAGTGGAGTGCTACAGGGTGTCAGTGTACGTGGGGCTAGAGTGTGTTGTGGTGGTGGAGTGCTACAGGGTGTCAGTGTACAGGGGGCTAGAGTGTGTTGTGGAGGTGGAGTGCTACAAGGTGTCAGTGTACAGGGGGCTAGAGTTTGTTGTGGAGGTGGAGTGCTACAAGGTGTCAGTGTACAGGGGGCTAGAGCGTGTTGTGGTGGTGTAGTGCCACAAGGTGTCAGTGTACAGGGGGCTAGAGTGTGTTGTGGTGGTGGAGTGCTACAGGGTGTCAGTGTACAGGGGGCTAGAGTGTATTGTGGTGGTGGAGTGCTACAGGGTGTCAGTGTACAGGGGGCTAGAGTGTATTGTGGTGGTGGAGTGCTACAGGGTATCAGTGTACAGGGGGCTAGAGTGTGTTGTGGTGGTGGAGTGCTACAGGGTGTCAGTGTACAGGGGGCTAGAGTGTATTGTGGTGGTGGAGTGCTACAGGGTGTCAGTGTACAGGGGGCTAGAGTGCACCTGAACGTGATAATCTTCCTCAACAGGTTCAACACATAATTACGTTTTAATCGTGCGTATTTATATTACTTATTATTGCATATAAACTTTATCCCGTGGATAACCGTGTGTTTCGTAGAAGTGGTCGTGAAGTTGTACCAGGATGTGATGTGTGGACCAGCTGTTGAGCCCGCTGTGTGGACCAGCTGTTGAGCTCGCTATGTGGACCAGCTGTTGAGCCCGCTGTGTGGACCAGCTGTTGAGCTCGCTATGTGGACCAGCTGTTGAGCCCGCTGTGTGGACCAGCTGTTGAGCTCGCTTTGTGTGTTCCTGAACCACTCCACTACACCTCACCTTATTCGTGTTAGGCTTATCATAAACTAGTTATATATAAAAGAGCTGTAAACAGATTTTGTGAATATGGTAGCATTTTTCTCACCAGTTCATCGATGAAGAATCTGACCTAATTACTGAAGGAATATTGGGATACAATTCCTAGAGTCATTATCTTCCTAAGCACTGTTACCTACACACCCACACGATGAGTGTGGGGGAGGGGGGCTCTGTATCCTTACCACCACCACCCTCAGGATGGGTGTGGTGGGAGCCACCTGTATCCTTACCACCACCACCCACAGGATGGGTGTGGTGGGAGCCACCTGTATCCTTACCATCACCACCCACAGGATGGGTGTGGTGGGAGCCACCTGTATCCTTACCACCACCACCCACAGGATGGGTGTGGTGGGAGCCCCCTGTACCCTTACCATCACCACCCACAGGATGGGTGTGGTGGGAGCCACCTGTACCCTTACCATCACCACCCACAGGATGGGTGTGGTGGGAGCCACCTGTATCCTTACTACCACCACCCACAGGATGGGTGTGGTGGGAGCCACCTGTACCCTTACCATCACCACCCACAGGATGGGTGTGGTGGGAGCCCCCTGTACCCTTATCATCACCACCCACAGGATGGGTGTGGTGGGAGCCACCTGTACCCTTACCATCACCACCCACAGGATGGGTGTGGTGGGGGCCCTCTGTATCCTTACCACCACCACCCACAGGATGGGTGTGGGGACCTTATGTATCCTTACCACCACCACCCACAGGATGGGTGTGGGGACCTTATGTATCCTTACCACCACCACCCACAGGATGGGTGTGGGGACCTTATGTATCCTTACCACCATCACCCACAGGATGGGTGTGGGGGCCCCTCTGTCCTGACCACCATCACCCACAGGATGGGTGTGGGGTGCCCTCTGTATCCTTACCACGACTGTTCATATGAAGGATGTTTGTGGGGTAGACATGAGGAGGTTGTATGTGGGTGCAGATGGAGACTGTGTGTACATGTGGACAAAATAATTTCATTTTTCCGAAGAATTAGATAATCGTATAAACATTATTTTATCAAACATGTTGCATATTTAGTAATGATTATTTTCTTGCCTATTTTCATAACAAAAACTAAAATTTGTGATTAAACTTTCTCATGTTGCAGATTCATTGGGAGTGCATGTACGGTGTTGCAGGCATTGACTGTGGCAAGCCAGACTGCAGGAGCACCCTTGATGGTGGTAAGGTGGCTGATCCCACCAACTGTCGCCAGTTTTACTTCTGTGTGTCGGGGGAGCCCACCGAAGAACCTTTCGTGTGTGAAGAAGGCATGATCTTTAACAGCACCGTTGAGGACTGTGTACCAGGCGACACGTGTGTCACCCAGTGCTCTCCTTGTTCTTACGAGTGTCCTGATGTTCCCGAACCACCTACTTACATTGCCGATCGCTATAACTGTTCAATTTACCATGAATGTGTATCAGAAGCTACACACTTTTGTGAAGCTAACAAACCATACTTCGACGGATCGTCGTGTCAGGCAAATAAGGCGAATTGCTGCAGCTGTAAGCCGTACTGCTCTGATTCTGATCTGTTTTCTTATGTGATAGACCCCACAGATTGTAAGCGATACTACTTTTGTGATACAATAGGTGTACCACAGTATTCACTTGAGTGTCAGTTTGGGAATTTTGATATCACTACCAACAAATGTTCCGATTCGGCGCCATGCATTTTGTTTTGCCCCAATATGTAGCCAAGAAGATATGTATGCACATAAATACCTACCTAGACATAAGCGTACAACCCCTGCACCTCTCCTTCAGAACGCTGGTGTTCACAGCGTGCAGATTAAAGTTCATTACGTGTGATGAAGGACTGACATTAGAGCCAACTGTTGTCTTGATGAACTTTATTGACATTTAAACAAAGGTTTGTGTGTTGTTCTCGGCGACTCTTATTACCCTCTGAAATTACATATTATTTTCCGTATTATAATAAGAAAGCTTAATAAAGAATTAACTGTATATGACGCTCTTTTTACTGAAGACCAAAAGAGGACCTATATACCCTCACAAGATCGTCACCACTGTACCCTCACAGGAGCACCACCACTGTACCCTAACAGGAACACCACCACTGTACCCTCACAGGAACACCACCACTGTACCCTCACAAGAGCACCACCACTGTACCCTCACAGGAACACTACCACTGTACCCTCACAGGAACACTACCACTGTACCCTCACAGGAACACCACCACTGTACCCTCACAAGATCGTCACCACTGTACCCTCACAGGGGCACCACCACTGTACCCTAACAGGAACACCACCACTGTACCCTCACAGGAACACCACCACTGTACCCTCACAAGAGCACCACCACTGTACCCTCACAGGAACACCACCACTGTACCCTTACAGGAACACCACCACTGTACCCTCACAAGATCGTCACCACTGTACCCTCACAAGATCGTCACCACTGTACCCTCACAGGAGCACCACCACTGTACCCTAACAGGAACACCACCACTGTACCCTCACAGGAACACCACCACTGTACCCTCACAAGAGCACCACCACTGTACCCTCACAGGAACACCACCACTGTACCCTTACAGGAACACCACCACTGTACCCTCACAAGATCGTCACCACTGTACCCTCACAGGAGCACCACCACTGTACCCTCACAAGAGCACCACCACTGTACCCTCACAAGATCGTCACCACTGTACCCTCACAGGGGCACCACCACTGTACCCTCACAGGAGCACCACCACTGTACCCTCACAAGAGCACCACCACTGTACCCTCACAGGAACACCACCACTGTACTCTCACAGGAACACCACTGTACCCTCACAGGAGCACCACCACTGTACCCTCACAGGAGCACCACCACTGTACCCTCACAAGAGCACCACCACTGTACCCTCACAAGATCGTCACCACTGTACCCTTACAGGGGCACCACCACTGTACCCTCACAAGAGCACCACCACTGTATCCTCACAAGAGCACCACCACTGTATCCTCACAAGAGCACCACCACTGTACCCTCACAAGATCGTCACCACTGTACCCTTACAGGGGCACCACCACTGTATCCTCACAAGAGCACCACCACTGTACCCTCACAAGAGCACCACCACTGTACCCTCACAAGATCGTCACCACTGTACCCTCACAGGAACACCACTGTACCCTCACAGGGGCACCACCACTGTACCCTCACAGGGGCACCACCACTGTACCCTCACAAGATCGTCACCACTGTACCCTCACAAGATCGTCACCACTGTACCCTCACAGGGGCACCACCACTGTACCCTCACAGGAGCACCACCACTGTACCCTCACAAGAGCACCACCACTGTACCCTCACAATATCGTCACCACTGTACCCTCACAGGGGCACCACCACTGTACCCTCACAAGAACACCACCACTGTACCCTCACAATATCGTCACCACTGTACCCTCACAGGGGCACCACCACTGTACCCTCACAAGAACACCACCACTGTACCCCTCACAGGAACACCACCACTGTAGCTGGGAATCATCCGCCCGTTCATCCATGTATATAAACAAGAATGTCTGTCTGTCAGAGGTCGGCGTCCAGACTCCTGTGTTAAGCATCTTGCAATTTTTCATGGTGATTGGAAAATGTGGCAGCAAGGTCGGAGGGTCCGCCCCCATGCCTTTCCTTAAGTAGGATTGACTCCTATTGCGACAACCGACTATTCTGAAGGAAAGGGAATTATCAGCAGAAAGTGCCAAGCCATTACAACAGTATATCACTTGGAAGTGATCAGGATAAGGATTTGGGATGAACGCCGACCTGCATGAAGTGAGACCATTACTCTACCGTCCAGCCCAAATGGTTGGGCAGACCCCTATGAAGTCTGAAATGGTGTTCTTGCTTTCCATAGAGTTTATCACATTCATCTGCACGTCACACAACGTAACCACAACGTTGTTGCAACATTGCATCAACGTAACGAAAATCAACAACGTCGTTGTTACCCTACACACACACAAAATGTAACGGTCCCTAGGATTCCCTTGTTACAACTTGTAATAAAGTAGTTACATCTTGCTATAATGTTTTTATGACGTATTGGAACGTTGTTACAATTGTTAGGTGTTAAACCTTGTTCCAACGTTGTTGCAACGTCGTAGTTTCGTCGTGTGCTTGTGTTTTCGTACTTAGTGTATTGGGCATGTAGTTGCTTCTTGCGAGAGAGAACTGGATAAGGAAGTAGAGACCCAAGCACCGCCAGAAACCTCATTTAGTGTCATATACGATATAATCCCAATATCGATAGTAATAACCTTTGATCAATTTATTTTGAGCAAATACTCTCTATAGCACTGATGAAAGAGGTAAAGCCACTAGAGGGTCAGAAGGTATTTGAACATGTGTAAAGTAAAACTATAGATTTCTCCATTCATCATTTACAGTATCATGTAATGAGTCAGGAATAAGATAACCTGATAATCATATTAAACATGTCATTTCCTTCCTGGTAGCAGTATCAGGACCAGGTGCACCAATATGAGGGAGTACTTTCCTCCCTGGTAGCAGTATCAGAACCAGGTGCACCAATATGAGGTGTACTTTCCTCCCTGGTAGCAGCATCAGAACCAGGTGCACCAATATGAGGTGTACTTTCCTCCGTGGTAGCAGCATCAGAACCAGGTGCACCAATATGAGGTGTACTTTCCTCCGTGGTAGCAGCATCAGAACCAGGTGCACCAATATGAGGGAGTACTTTCCTCCCTGGTAGCAGCATCAGAACCAGGTGCACCAATATGAGGTGTACTTTCCTCCCTGGTAGCAGCATCAGAACCAGGTGCACCAATATGAGGTGTACTTTCCTCCGTGGTAGCAGCATCAGAACCAGGTGCACCAATATGAGGTGTACTTTCCTCCGTGGTAGCAGCATCAGAACCAGGTGCACCAATATGAGGTGTACTTTCCTCCGTGGTAGCAGCATCAGAACCAGGTGCACCAATATGAGGGAGTACTTTCCTCCCTGGTAGCAGCATCAGAACCAGGTGCACCAATATGAGGTGTACTTTCCTCCCTGGTAGCAGTATCAGAACCAGGTGCACCAATATGAGGTGTACTTTCCTCCCTGGTAGCAGCATCAGAACCAGGTGCACCAATATGAGGTGTACTTTCCTCCCTGGTAGCAGCATCAGAACCAGGTGCACCAATATGAGGTGTACTTTCCTCCGTGGTAGCAGCATCAGAACCAGGTGCACCAATATGAGGTGTACTTTCCTCCCTGGTAGCAGCATCAGGACCAGGTGCACCAATATGAGGTGTACTTTCCTCCCTGGTAGCAGTATCAGGACCAGGTGCACCAATATGAGGTGTACTTTCCTCCCTGGTAGCAGTATCAGGACCAGGTGCACCAATATGAGGGAGTACTTTCCTCCCTGGTAGCAGCATCAGAACCAGGTGCACCAATATGAGGTGTACTTTCCTCCCTGGTAGCAGTATCAGGACCAGGTGCACCAATATGAGGGAGTACTTTCCTCCCTGGTAGCAGTATCAGGACCAGGTGCACCAATATGAGGTGTACTTTCCTCCGTGGTAGCAGCATCAGAACCAGGTGCACCAATATGAGGTGTACTTTCCTCCCTGGTAGCAGTATCAGGACCAGGTGCACCAATATGAGGGAGTACTTTCCTCCCTGGTAGCAGCATCAGAACCAGGTGCACCAATATGAGGTGTACTTTCCTCCGTGGTAGCAGCATCAGAACCAGGTGCACCAATATGAGGTGTACTTTCCTCCCTGGTAGCAGCATCAGAACCAGGTGCACCAATATGAGGTGTACTTTCCTTCCTGGTAGCAGTATCAGGACCAGGTGCACCAATATGAGGGAGTACTTTCCTCCCTGGTAGCAGCATCAGAACCAGGTGCACCAATATGAGGTGTACTTTCCTCCGTGGTAGCAGCATCAGAACCAGGTGCACCAATATGAGGTGTACTTTCCTCCCTGGTAGCAGCATCAGAACCAGGTGCACCAATATGAGGTGTACTTTCCTCCGTGGTAGCAGCATCAGAACCAGGTGCACCAATATGAGGTGTACTTTCCTCCGTGGTAGCAGCATCAGAACCAGGTGCACCAATATGAGGTGTACTTTCCTCCGTGGTAGCAGCATCAGAACCAGGTGCACCAATATGAGGTGTACTTTCCTCCCTGGTAGCAGCATCAGAACCAGGTGCACCAATATGAGGTGTACTTTCCTCCGTGGTAGCAGCATCAGAACCAGGTGCACCAATATGAGGTGTACTTTCCTCCGTGGTAGCAGCATCAGGACCAGGTGCACCAATATGAGGTGTACTTTCCTCCCTGGTAGCAGTATCAGAACCAGGTGCACCAATATGAGGTGTACTTTCCTCCCTGGTAGCAGCATCAGGACCAGGTGCACCAATATGAGGTGTACTTTCCTCCCTGGTAGCAGTATCAGAACCAGGTGCACCAATATGAGGTGTACTTTCCTCCCTGGTAGCAGTATCAGGACCAGGTGCACCAATATGAGGTGTACTTTCCTCCCTGGTAGCAGTATCAGGACCAGGTGCACCAATATGAGGTGTACTTTCCTCCGTGGTAGCAGCATCAGAACCAGGTGCACCAATATGAGGTGTACTTTCCTCCCTGGTAGCAGCATCAGGACCAGGTGCACCAATATGAGGTGTACTTTCCTCCCTGGTAGCAGCATCAGAACCAGGTGCACCAATATGAGGTGTACTTTCCTCCCTGGTAGCAGCATCAGGACCAGGTGCACCAATATGAGGTGTACTTTCCTCCCTGGTAGCAGTATCAGGACCAGGTGCACCAATATGAGGTGTACTTTCCTCCCTGGTAGCAGTATCAGGACCAGGTGCACCAATATGAGGTGTACTTTCCTCCGTGGTAGCAGCATCAGAACCAGGTGCACCAATATGAGGTGTGCTTTCCTCCCTGGTAGCAGTATCAGGACCAGGTGCACCAATATGAGGTGTACTTTCCTCCCTGGTAGCAGTATCAGAACCAGGTGCACCAATATGAGGTGTACTTTCCTCCCTGGTAGCAGTATCAGAACCAGGTGCACCAATATGAGGTGTACTTTCCTCCCTGGTAGCAGCATCAGGACCAGGTGCACCAATATGAGGTGTACTTTCCTCCCTGGTAGCAGTATCAGGACCAGGTGCACCAATATGAGGTGTACTTTCCTCCCTGGTAGCAGTATCAGGACCAGGTGCACCAATATGAGGTGTACTTTCCTCCCTGGTAGCAGTATCAGGACCAGGTGCACCAATATGAGGTGTACTTTCCTCCCTGGTAGCAGTATCAGGACCAGGTGCACCAATATGAGGTGTACTTTCCTCCCTGGTAGCAGTATCAGAACCAGGTGCACCAATATGAGGTGTACTTTCCTCCCTGGTAGCAGTATCAGAACCAGGTGCACCAATATGAGGTGTACTTTCCTCCCTGGTAGCAGTTTTTTTTAGTATTATTATTTTCTACCACAGACGTGGCCACACATTTACAATGCTAACCAGCATATATACATTTCTTCTGTCCTCCATGGACAGGGTTAGAGATCTGTTAAACATATACCCTCACAGATCTGTTAAACATATACCCTCTGACGCACATGTATACCATATACATGTGCGTCAGAGATTTATTGAACAATCAACCACAGCAGGTGATAGTGATACTTATACAATACTAATCTAACCTACATTCATAAATACACAGGCTTACGTCTGCCCTACATAAACAGTATTCAATGTGTCTTTTTATATAATGTCATTAATGTGCGTTTACAAAAGTGAAATGCAATTCTAACCAGTTTCCACAAATCTTGTATACACACACACATACATACATACACATACACACACACACAAACACACATATATATATATATATATATATATATATATATATATATATATATATATATATATATATATATATATATATATATATATATATACTTATGTACACACACATTCACGTACACATATACACATGCATTTATGTCTCTCCTTTGACGGTATGATAGCTGCTATAGAAACTAGTGTGTTATTAAGCACTTAACCACTGAAGGTGATTAAGGTGCTTTCACAAGCTAAAGTTATAGTTACAACACAAACATTGTATAACTGATGAATTTCAGTCAATCTCGGGAACAAGTTCAATATATTATCAAGTGTTCCAGTATTTATAGTAGTTACAGAGTTCAGCATACCTCAGCCCAGGAGGGCGCAAGTCAGTCAATATGGGACATTCTGCAATATAATGTTCATGGGAGTGCATGTTTTCTCTTTCACCAAGTTGACACAGGGTGTATTCGACACTTTCACCAAGTTGACACAGGGTGTATTCGACACTTTCACCAAGTTGGCACATGATGTATTCGACATTTGAGTTCTGAGAAAGCTACCAGATACGTCTATATCCCAAGTGTATTCTGGCCACTATAACATCACATTGCCGAGTTCTTGGTCTATTAGTTTCATAATATGAATGTCTCCTAACGATATTTATCATAATGTTTAGTGATACAGCTTTCAGGTGTTTGTGAATTTGTTAGATAAGCAAGATTTTCATTAGATATTTGTTTAAGTATGCTCTTTGTTGCTGCTAATGAAACACCCATATCAATTTCTACTACTGGTCTACTACAGGCTGTCTTTGCAAGCATATCAACAGTGTCACGCTTTGAGATGCCAACATGTTGTGGTATCCAAAGGAATTTAATTTCATTTTTTTTTTTTTTGCGGCTAAAACTTTTCATTCGAATATCACTAACTATTCTCTGGATGATACTATGTGCGTTCAGGGCCAGAAGTGCACTCTGCAAGTTAGAGTATATAAGTCCACTGACTTTGTCTTTTAAAAATTCATTAGCAAGGTATATGCCTGCAAGTTCGGTTTGAGTTGAACTAGCCCAATCACTGACGCGCTTCAATGCTGAACGTGCGAGATAAGATTGTTTAAATACATTACATGCACATCCGGTACATCGTCCATCTTTTTCTACAGAACCGTCGGCATAACACTGATACACATCGTTACCCATAACCAGGGTACCTCAGTGATGCTTCACAGTGTTAAATGTTTTAATAATGTAGAGTGTACACTCTTTCTTGGGTGCATTTACAAAATTAACCAATAGATCCCAGTTATTTCATGGATTAATTTGTTGATTAATCATTAATTGAGCTGGGTAGTTATTTAATATTTTGATGGCGTTGGCTACCTTGTAGAACCAAAATGCATAATCAGATTTATCTCTTCTTCTATAGACCTCAGGTGAGTGCAGCATATAAGAAAGTTTAGGTTGAAATTTCATGTGTTGTCGAGATCTACGCAATGCCTTCACGCCGAAAACTGTGCTAATGGACAAAATTCTCTTACTTATGGTAGGTAATTTTAACTCTGCTCTCATATTAACTATTCTCGTGGACTTTGGAGCCCCAAGGATGAGACGCATAGCTTCATTTTACAAGGTTTCAAATAATTTTAGCTCCTTATCTGTGACATGTGGGAGATGTAGAGCATTGTAGTCAATCGCAGAGCGTATAAATGATACATAGAACATTCTAGCAAGTCTCACGTTAATTCCATGATTGACTCCAACAAGGACCCACAAAGGTTTTAATCTCTCTACTCTCAAGAGGAGAGTCTGGGAAAAGTACCCAGGGTCGTTAATGGGGGGGACACAAAGGTATCTGTAAGACTCGCATTTCTCAAGTGCTCGCCCATCTATATGATAATTGTGTGGTGGAATAACACGTGGAATGAGGGCACGAGTTTTCTGTACAGAGATAAGGAGGCCACATTCCTCAGCTCTAGTAGCAAAAGCATCGAGTAGAACTTGCATTCTAGGCTCGGTGGCAGCCTGTAAACATATATCATCAGCATAACAAATGACCGTGTCTTCATTATTACTTGGAAGATCTTTAATAGGTTTATGTATTGGAACGTTGAACAACATGATTCAAGATACAATATGTCATTTTCTTCTGTATGTTAATTAGGAGTGAATTATAGCTTGATGTTAGTGCAAATTGGTCAAGGAGAATGATTGCTTGCTCTAGTGGGCTGGGGTGCAGTGGTTTGGTTGGGTTGCTTCTAGAGAGTTTTCGTATCTTTTCCCAAACTTCAATAAGTGATGTTTGCTCGTTTATACTTTGTAGGAACTCTTCCCAATGTTTATTTCGTGTAACATTGCTCATGTCTCTCACCTCTCTATATGCGACAAGACAACCCGTTCTCGCACTTTCGTATAGTCAATATTGACTTATTAAATACGTGCATATGTGACATACTAAACATACTAGTTTACCTTGAAAAGCTTCATAGAAAACACCAACCTTACCTAACCTTCTTAGTATGTTAAGATAAGCATCTTATTGCTTCGTAATTACAATTATTACTTAACCTATACCTATAATAGGTTAAGTAATAATTGTAATTACGAAGCAATAAGATGCTTATCTTAACATACTAAGAAGGTTAGGTAAGGTCGGTGTTTTCTATGAAGCTTTTCAAGGTAAACTAGTATGTTTAGTATGTTACATATGCACGTATTTAATAAGTCAATATTGACTATACGAAAGTGCGAGAACGGGTTGGACAAGAAATGCATGCAAATCAACTTGTGATCTGGTTCGTCTGTATGTATCTCCAAGCTGCTTTACTCGTTCGTGTTCCTTAATTTAGGAATAAAGGGTTAAGGACTCACTTGGATTGTCGTGGGTGGTGTCCACCTCTGCTAGGCTTACAGCTTGTTCCCCAGCACACCCATGTGTCATAGTAGGTGGTAATTTTATCACCGAGGTCTCTAGAGAAGGCCTGTATATTCGTTATTGTGTGATCTTGATACCGTTTTAACATACAATTAATAAAGTGATTATGCAAACCATATGGTATATTCATTTTCCGTTTCTGATGTCTATGAGGTACATCACACTGTACCTCATACGAAGCAGAAATTGCATAGTGATCACTTACCAAATGATTTACCAACGAGCATTCCATCCTATCACAAGGTTTCTACCCATTACATAATCGAGTCTGCCTCCCAATAAATGAGTTTGGGTATCTGTAGTATACACAGTTAATCTGTTGCCATAAACATATTTGATAAATTTGCATCCCTTATCGTTGTTAGTAATGTCTCCCAGCGTAACATGTCTTGCATTAAAATTTCCCATGTATATTGCCCCATGATTATCTAGATCTGGGAGCAATGTTACATCGAGCTTCTGGCATATATGTTGAGGAATGAGAAGTGGCCTGCTGCAGTTTGTACATGAACGTGAAAGTACTGTGTGTGTACATTGTGTGACGTGTTCACAAGAGTATGCGGTAAATCACTTCTGATGTATGTTAGTAGGCCTGTGGCGTTAATGTTTGTATAGGATACATACACTCTGATCTTTGGTGATGTTCTGTTTATCAAGTTAGACCTATAGGACTCCTGTATATAGCCGCAGCAACCTGATGTCTTATTTCTTCAGTAACGCCTAGTGATGTCAGTCTCTCGACCACTGAAGAACTCGGGATGGTCTGTGAGTGAATGTTGTCTGCAATTTTCATGGCATAAGCACTGTCAGACGGTGGATTTTCATTTGCACTCTGGCACTGGACTTAAATGTGTTCGATGCCCACTTCAATATATGCTGGTGTGGGTCGACTTCCTTTTCCAGTTACTATATGTGTCACTATCACTGTTGTCATCACTGACCAAGACGTCACCACAGTCTCCGTTATCGCCCTGATATCTGCCGCCGCCGCCGCCGCCGCCGCCGCCGCCACTGCCACCACCACAGGTTCCTTTTCCAGCACGGACACGGCTGTAACACAGCTGTGTGGAGGCTGGTGAGTCTCTTGAGAAGAATCCCGACGCAGCGCTTGCATGATAGCATCAGGACCAGGTGCACCAGGATGAGGTGTACTTTCCTCACTGGTAGCAGTATCAGGACCAGGTGCACCAATATGAGGGGATTATTTACCTCCCTGGTAGCAGTATTAGGTTCAGGTGCACCAAGATGAGGAAGTAAGTAATTATCAATAGAAGGCACCAAACCGGGAAGGCTATGTAGCACCATCAAATGTGAGGGATAATCAGAGGGCGCTAAATATCACCAAGGATACAAATACGAGAACAAAAACGCGTAAGGTGAAAGATATCAAAAGTATCAGAGTCGCCAAGAATTCTATCGAGGGACAAGCGACCGTGAGGGATGGTTGGAAAACAAGACACATGCTCGTCCTGGAAGTCAGGACATTCAACAAGGATATGTACGACCGTATGAGGGACAATGCAATTTGGACAATAAGGAGCAGGGCGGCGCTCCATTAAGTAACCGTGAGTTAAACGGGTATGGCCAATACGTAACCTAGCCAGAGCCGTTTCCCATCGCCAGTTACGGTGGCAGGAGGAAGGCCACTGGGACACACGACTCTTAAGAGTACGCAGTTTCATACCAATAACAGAAGACCAACAACTCTGCAATCGGGCAAAGAAGGAGGCATGAATAACTGAGTAAAAGTCGGAATAAGGAACACCTTTATGGGAAATGGGACAAGTGCAGATAGCGTCCTTAGTGGCAGCATCCGCACGCTCATTTAAAGAGACACCAACATGGCTGGGAGCCCAGGAAAACGCAACCGACTTAAATTTACTGGAGATAAGAAACAGGCAATGTTGAATCTCGATGACCACAGGGTGGACAGGATTAAAGGACCCTAAAGCCATGAGGGCACTACGAGAGTCAGCTACTACCACGAAGGCGGATTGTCCCCGGGAAAGCAGGAGACGAAGAGCATAGAGAATAGCATAGAGTTCTGCTGTGAAGATGCTAGCCTCCAGACGAAGGCGACAAATATAAGTGTGGTCAGGAAAAACAACAGAGTAGCCCACACCGTGAGCAGACTTTGACCTGTCGGTGAAGATAGGAACGGAGTGGGAGTGAGAAGAAAAGTGCACAAGGAAGAGGCGTTTCAGAATTGAAGGAGAAGTAAAAGGCGATGCGGGTCAGAGAAGTACAAAATTTGGGAAGGGGGACCCTCCATGGGGGCAAGGAGGGAACAATACGAGGAAAGACATTAGTGAGACGAACCGAAAGAGAATCTTGTAACAGAGACAAACGGACAGAAAGAGGAAGGTTATGAAGAGGAACAGGAACTACAGGAGGGGTAAAAGTCAAAGCACGATAGAGGCGAGAGTGAGGATGCTGTAAGGATCGCGCAAGATAGCGAAGACTGTAGCGATCACGGCGATCCTGGAGAGACAGAAAGCCAGTGTCAGCGTACAAGCTGAGGGTAGGAGTTGAACGAAAAGCACCAGAGCTGAGGCGCCACCCAGTATGGTGCAAAGATCAAGACGGCGAAGAGTAGAAGGAGAAGCAGG